CCCCAAAACCCCAAAACCCCAAAACCCCAAAACCCCTAGAGGAGACTGTGTGGGTGACGAATTAATAATAAATGGAGATCTTGTTTGGAAAGAAGAGAGAGAAGAAAGTTTTGAGAGACCCGAGGGAAATGTTTCATAGTTCAGAGAAAGTTGTAGAGAAGTTGATGCAGCCTACCCAGAAGATTCATGTTTATACTGAGGATGACCTTATTAAATATCTGAACCAAAGCTTTGACTTAATGGCTGAGATTGATAAAGAAATGGGAGACCTAGTCAAGATATCAGACTACCCTAATTTTGAACAGAAATGTGCTGAGTTCGACCGCCTGTGAGTGGATATTAAAGAGTTTGTCAATCTTTCAGTCGACAATTTGACTCATTTCAGTTCGTTCCATCGACTGGAAGATCTTAAAGAAGAAAGAGATAGAGCTGAAGATATGCTTGGAAGTCTTGCAATGTTTGGAGAATCACTTCATCATTCTAACAAAGAAGCTGACGAGTTAGATCATGCGCCTGGATTTGACGAGCATGGTTTACTGTTGTGTGAAGACGTTCATGTTGATCGTGAAGAGTTTGAAGAAGCTAAAAGCAAAGGAATGTTCAAAGGTTTGTCTATAGATTCTGAAGAAGTAAAAGAATCAATCTATGAAAAAGATGCAGACATGCTCACATCTGAGAATCAGAAAAATTTAAACAAGCTCATATTGAAGAGAATTGATAACATGAAGATATGTGCTAAAGAAAGAAACCCTCTCGAAGGTCCTTTACATCAACAAAGAGTCAAGGATATCAGGGAAGGTAAATTTAAAATATGTGTTCCCGCAGTTGCTCTAACCTTCAAGTATCTGGTTGATCTGTTTAAGATCATAAAGAATACCATGAAAGATGCCATTGAGAATAAGAAAGCGTCTTCATTCAAAACTTTCATGATCTACGCCTCCAAATTCTCGCTCATTTCTGAAATCTTATTCGCTGCTTTTTATGCTAAAGATGATATGCTTTACAAAGATCTTTCAGACGAAAGCTGGGAGAAGTTCTTCAATGTTTATGATTGATACGAGCCAAAAGATCTTACTAAGTTTAACTATCAGTACCAAACTCTATGTGATTTCCTTGGTAAGCTCACTTGAATAATTCTGTAGCTCTGGGTAATGCTTTTATATCAAAAGCAGGCAATCACAGTAACGCTTTTTCAGAGTTTTTCGGACAGGCAAGATATGCTGCATATTACCTATTCTTCAAGAAAGAAAGGAAGGAACAGTTTGACATGTTCATGAGCAACCCTGACATTGACTTATGCCTGAAGGTATACAATATCCCAGAGACAGACTTCATCCAGACGATGACTGAAGTAACCTTGCCCAGCATACAGGTGCACAAAGTTGTATATCTTCCAATGCTTGAAGAGACTCTTACTCTGAAAAATCTGAAGGAGACTGCTGATAACTACCAAGATTACCTGGAGAAAAAGTCCCAAGGGCTCCCTGATCATGAAATCTTATATGAACAAAATAAAGAGAAAGAAGAGAAGAAGACCATCACTAAAACTTTGATGGACATCAAACATCCTGCTTCCACCTCCTTGAGTGTTTTCCAACATGATTTTGCAGAAGAATTTGATGAAAATAAACAGAGTCAATTCTTGACAGACCCAAGTCTTTACAATCCAGAAAAGAATGTGATGGTCAGGGTGCTCTCTCCATTCAAATTTCCAGTCAACTGGGAGACCAGGAAGGTTGATCAGACTATGATTGAGCAAGCAAATAAAAATCAGGAGGGAGGTTCATTCTTCTCAGCAATTACAACTACAACAGTCAAGTTGAAAGAAGGACTAGCTAGTGTCCAAAATCCAAAATTTTGGAAATGGGGAACCTCATCTGACAATGCCAATAAAGATGGTTCTAAGCAGAACGAAGAAGCCAAGACTCCAGTAAAAGAATATATCGACGTCGAGGCAATTATGGTTCACATTCATGGTGGAGGATTTATAGCAATGAGTAGTTCTTCACATCAGAATTATAGTAGAAAATATGCAAACGAGCTAGGAATCCCTGTATTTTCAATCGATTACAGACTTGCTCCTGAGAATCCATACCCAGCTTCTTTAAATGATGTCTGGCAAGCTTACTATTGGTTGGTAACTAACTGCACTACCCAGTTCGGAATCAAGCCTTCTAAAATAATTGTTACAGGCGACTCAGCAGGAGGAAACTTAACTTGTGCCTTAACAATGCTATGCATTGAGAAGCATTTTAGAGTTCCAGATTTTATTCTCCCTGCATATCCAGCATTAAACCTATCTTTACTGAACTTCTCTCCAAGCTTGATTCTGTCACTTGATGACTATATTCTACCTTCAAGTTTTCTGATGCTTTGTGTTGACTCTTATGTCAAAGGTGCTGATGCTGAAAATGATCATTTCCTGTCACCAGGGATCTGCCCTCAGAATGTGCTTGAGAAGTTCCCTCCGACAAGAATAATGACAGCAGGAAATGACCCACTAAGAGATGAGCAATACAGATTTGTTCTGAAACTGATTGATGCTAATGTTGATGTCAGATGCAAAGAATACCTTCATTTCCCTCACGGTTTTGTGAGTCTAGACCTTCCAATTGGAGGCATTGAAGAATGAAGAAATTGAATAGATCAAGCTATTGGTTACTTTAAAGAAAGTCTTGATAGAGACCCTCTAGAATACGAGCACTTATCAAACTCAGGAACTCTAGTCGAAGGCAGGCCAGCCAGCTTTAAGAAACCCTCTAAAAGAGCAGAGAATAACTCAGATGAAGCCAACAGTGATAAAGAATCATAAATATCTTCAATCGATTTCTAATACTTTGGGGTTTTGGGGTTTTGGGGTTTTGGGGTTTTGGGG